TGCTTCTCCTAATTTAGTGGCAACTGTGTACACGAAAGCGGTGACTCTTAATGCAGGCTCAGGCTCGCACATGCCCGTCAGTAAGCCCTGACGTGAGTAGTGGTATCGCATTCGTGTTGACGAGTTTGTGGCAGAAATGCCGTAGTGTAGAACTGCCAGTATAGTGACTCAGGACTGGTAATATTGCGAGGCCTAATAGGCCTAAGTGATGCGATAGGAGCGTATTGCCAAAGCGTGTTCACTCTCCCTAAGGACATTGAAGTCTCCAGCATAAATAGTCAAGTGGGAATCCTCACCGTGCTGCAAGGTTGCGTTACTCTTCGAGGTTGCCAAGTGTATCTTCTCTCAGGGTAGCGATTTTATTCGTGAAATATACTAAGGAGTGAGTGTTTCTAGTCAAAGTCAAGAAATATGGCTTTGGGAATCAGCTGCGTGGGTTCAATTGAAATGAGTTGCTATTTCATTCATTAGTTGCATTTGGTATTGTTTGCAGCACTTCCACAAAAGCCAACTTGCTATCTTCAGTGTGTTGAGTGGAAAAGTGCAGAGTAGTAGGAATGCATCTGCTGAGGTAGAGACCTCCAATGTAATTTTCGTTTGGTATAGTGCTCATTGAGAAAATAATGAGGTGAAACCTGATGTCGCCGAACAGGACGCTCTTTATACCTTCACCCATCACACGTCTGGCTTCGTGTTGCTATGCTTCCTTCCTCCCCATCACGAGTTGTTTCACTTCCTAATTCGCGTCACTTATGCAAGCGATATTGCTTCTCACTATGATGATGTTTTACAATTCAAAACTGGCGGAACATCACTTTATTCAAAGCTAAATGCTGTGACAGTGAATTCAAGTAACATTCTTCTCAAATGGTAATTTCACTTTTCTAAATTCACCAGTTGCCGCATCTACAGCCTGCTGTGAAGTGTAAAGGATAGCACAATGCACCTCCGGAAATCTCGAAGGCATTCGCGCCTGCCTCGTGTGTACGAGCGAGTTCGTAACGTCATGCCTAATGGGCTGCAATCAGCGCACATTTCCTTTGTGACTGACACACCCTCATGGGAGTTTTATCTGTCTCCCTTCCCATACGCTGCGTCCTTTCGATGGCACCTATTTACCATGGTCACGGCACAATGCAATTCCATCTAGAGCACCCCATTCTCGTTTTACGTGGAAACCTCTCTATTCAACCTTCTGAATGAGCGCATTTGATGACTCAAAATTGGCTTTGGTCTCAAGCACAATTTGTTCACCGTTTATCCAGCTTCTACAGGCATTTTAGAAGTCAATCGAGAAGACGTTTGATGATGGTTTCTAGCAATTACTCATTATTATGAAACCAAATAAAATGACTGCAAATTTCTCTTTACTTTCTACTTCTCTCGGCCTCCTTCTCCTCCTTCACCTTCACACGCGCCTTTTACTCCTTCCCATGTCTTGGTAGTTGAAGAGCTAACCTTGACACACACACACACACACACAGAGACAGATATCAATCTTTCACTGGAACAGTTAACTATTGAATTCACTACCCAAACTGCGTTGGAGAGGACAGGAACCATTTCATGTAAAAGGTGCTCTATTTAGAGTAAAAGGCAGTGAACATGAGATGAAAGTTATAAATGAACCTCCGTCTAAGCAACCAGTGATGGAATCATTTCTATTGTCATTAACGTCGACCATTTGGCACTACGCCTTACGTGATTGGCAGAGCTGAGAGCACAAGAACACGCGCCATAATCAAAGAGGCGAAAACAACCAAACAAATGAGACTTCGAGGCATGCGGTGGTAGAATGCACTCTCACATCACAAGTACCGTGATTCTTTTCGATGGCGCCACCGTCACACCCAAATGGAGTGGAGCCACCCAAGGGCAGATGTAAGGCAGGAATAAGTACCAGACAATTTACCCCTTGATTGGCTAAACAGAGCCAGGCATTTGGAGTGCTTGCGTCAGCAGTCTTCGCATTGAGATGTCGATGAGGTTAGTTAGGGAGGCAAGCTCGATCTCAGAGGCGGTACCACTAAATATTCACAAGAAGTTGCAGCATTTATTTTGGAGTAGAGGCAACAGAAGTTGGGTAAGCAAAACCACAACCGGATTTGGAATGGTGAGTATGGAGACGTGAAAGGCCAAATAGACAGATTCCACCAACAAAATATGCTTGTGAGGCGTGAGGAGACGATGAAGTGAACGTCAAATTGTAGATTACTACATTATGATTTTCATTCGGCATGCGAAGCAATTTAGGTTCTGGTGTTTAAATGGCCTAAATGCTTAACTTAAGCGAATGCAAATTTGAATTATGAATAATGAAGATAAAAGAGTCAATTTT